TAAAGGGGGGGGGGTGAGGGGTTGGGTTTGGACGAGAGGTAGGGATAATGGCGGTGAGAAATGAGGAAGGAGAGTAGATAATCAACATTATCTTGAATTTTGAAGAACTTGTTTTCTTAACAATAATATTTATCAAAGACCAACCAAACATGAGAAAGCTGGAACTCCTCCTCCATACCAAATACACCTAACCTATTTGATTGGAAAAGATCTTAGACATGTCACTATATTTGTGTGGTTATGTTACAAGACTTCTGAAACTTGTTGTATTACATATGACAAGATAACACATGTGTTGCTATAGAAAAATGTCATTCAACGTAAAATGAGAAGCTTAAGTTAAATTCTTTTCATATTTAGAAAGGGTTATTCTTTGTTGAACAAACTAAAAAGGAAATATGATTACATAAACTTGAAAGGATGGAGTAAAATATTTGTTTTAGGCAAGGAAGAGTAAAGTATTGTTGGTCCCAAGTAAAGTAAAGGAGGTGGGATGTGTAATTCGGCACCGGTCAAAAATAATATATATATATTTTTTTTGATGACCGTGGTGTTCGGGATAGCTTTTGCGCACCTCTACTAATTCCAAGGGATACCTGTCACCAACAACATGTACCAATAATTCTATACCTGTTACCTGCCACCAGCAACAGGTAGCAACATGTACCGGATACTAAAAGTGTATTTTGTCTCCGCTGAGTTTTTAACCTGAGACCTCAGGGTTTTCAATCACTTCATTGACCACTGGGCCACACCCTTGGGTGCTTGAAAATAATTAAATTTTGATGAAACCAGTTTGATTGCCTTAGTGATTTTTATTTCAAGTAAGTAACTCTACCTGGATGAGTTTGATTTCACTAAGTATAGTCTGTCTCTGACTGTGGCGGAACCAGGAATTTTATAGAAGCAGATTCCTAAAAAAAATATGTCACACGTGAGATAAGAACCTATGACCTAAAGCAAATTTTGAACCTTCTTTGCCACTTTTTCCTTGTATGAAGAGCAATTATACCTTTGCTTGGAAGTGTTATATTGCAATTATAGGAGATGATGGACCAAAAAACTTTTTATGTGTGAGCTTTTGTATTTACAATTGTTCCACTATCTTTGGAGTGAAAACTGAAGTTTTGGTTTTTAGTTATTGGCACCATTAGTGTAGTTTCTATTATGTATTAGACAATAGCATATATTGCTATTGTACTGCCTAGCTTTTGCTTTATTTGGAGGTTTCATCGTTGAGCTTGACTGTAAAAGGTTTGTTTATGCAGAAATGTGGTGATCATTGGGAACATATGTTGTAGTAATGCAATATAGAAATTAAGTTAATGCAATATAGAAGTAGTAAATGTTGTTAAATCATCTGTCATTCTTGGGTACCTGCCTAAAAACAAAGATCTAAAAGTTGAAGAATCAAATGAAAGAGAGGTAAAGAGAAAAATGGCTGTTCTGGAATAAATTTTAACGTTGTAGCCTTTTGTCAGCTAGTTTGTGCTGAAGCTCTCAGTTGACAGTTTTTGTTTGAGTTCCAAGAAGGTTAGTGAAAATTCTTAATTCTTTTTGCCTCCTGAAGAAAGTAAATAGTGTATTGATGTAATTTTTCATGGTTACCTCGCAATGCAGAGAGAAGCATTTGGTGTTGTGGAGCTAGATAATACCAAAAGAGATGAACATATTGGTGGTGGAAATGAGTACGGGACAGAGGAGTCTGATTCAGTAGATTGTGTCCCAGAAGTAACTAATTCTGATTCTGAGGACAGAGTTGCAAGTCCTATCAAGTGTGAAACCTCTAAATTACCTTCTTCCGTGGGAATTAGTTGCAGTGGGTTTAGTGGCCTTTCATCTGCTCCATACAGAATTACTGGAAGAATTCCTTCTGTTACATATGAAAATTCAACGATGTGTTCCACAGACTTGGTTCCTATAAGGGGGACTTATTTGAACCACAATAATCTAAAGTCATATAGCAGGTAACCTTTTCTGCCATTCATTTTTGGCATCCGGATTTGAATATCTGTTGTGTGTATGATGGTTCTAATTCCTGGTGCTTTGACTTTTCAGAGAGTGGAATTATGGAAGTAAGCCAACTAGTGAAGCAGCTGATTTGGCTTGTGAAACACTTAGTCAGCCATTATATGCTCTTTCAATTGTCGAGCGCCATGAGAATCAGAAATCAAGACCTCCAATCAAAGTGCAACATTCGACCTATATGGGATACCCAACAGTAAACTTTCCAAGGAGCTATGGTGAAAGCTTAGTATCTGATTATAAGCTCACTTTGCTTGGGAATTTCTCCTATAAGAGGCCAAAAATGAAAGAAATTCGGGCTGATTTCAAAGCACAGAACCCTTTGAATGGCCAAGTAAAGATTAGGAATTGTTCTTCTCGGCAAGTATTGATTTTATTCACCAATGAAGAGGATTACTACACTGTTTTGTACAAGAAAGCGTTCATTGTTGCTGGTGCCCTCATGCAGATTTCCTGGTCGTCTCCAGATTTCCACCATGAAGTAGTGAGTACTTTAAATCCTGTTTGAGTACATCTATCGTTTTTAGCATGGCACCTCTTCTAATGGGAAGCTCTGTCATAACCGGTGGCTCCCATCGGAAAAGCTTTAGCCTTAGAGCCCGTTTGGATTGGCTTAAAAAAGTAATTTTTAAGTCGAAAATAAAAAGTCAAACTGAAATGACTTTTAAGTCAAAAAATAAAAAGTAGGGGGAGACCTACTTTTGGTTTTTGACTTATTTTCGTTGTTGGCATCATCATTGTGTAATATCTGTGAGGTTTTCAACAATCGCATAGGTTGCTGCTGTACTTCCTAGCTATTGCTTTTTTATATATTTTTTTTATCATTGAGCTTGACTGATAAAAAGAACTGCTTATGCAGAAACAGAATATTTATCCTGATTTCAGATTAAGTGATGCAAAATCTGTTAATTGGAATACAGACCCCTCTAAGCTGCATCCTTCTATAAATGGCCTTTCAGCCCCTGCTACAGATGAAAAGCCCATGTCACTACAAGTGCCTGCCGTGTCTCAATGCTTGAGTGTTCCTTCAATACGTCCACCATTACCATTATTGGCTCATTCAGTAAGTGTAGCTGGTCGATTGTGTGCTGATCGTTTAACAACTTCAGGTATTTATGTTCCTCAGTCTTATCCGAAAGGAATTTTGGGCAGTCCTATTTTTGGAAGAAATGAACAAGCGGGCCGTGGAAGCACCTTTCCCAGCCCTAGCCAAGCCCTGGATCAGAGCAGTCTTGCTCAGCAGCATAATCAACTCAATTCATATAAGGAACCAAAAATGACTGTCAGGATAGCACAATCACAACCACCATCAACAACCTCAGTAAGTGACACTACCAGCTCAATTCGATACCGAGAATGTCTCAAGAATCATGCTGCAAGCATGGGAGGACATGCTCTCGATGGATGTGGAGAATTCATGCCTAGTGGAGAAGAAGGGACCCCAGGAGCCCTGAAATGTGCAGCTTGTAATTGCCACCAAAATTTTCACAGGAAAGAGATTGACGATTACCAACAGATGGATGATGTTGGGTCACATTCTAGGTTCAGTCAACCGAGAAATAATAGCAGTAGTGGCAGTATACAAAACCAATCCCCGATTTCTCTTCCTACACAGCAGCTGCAGCAGTATCATCATGATTACAGTAATAGCTGTTCACCTAGATCATTGGTTGACTCTTTGCAGCCTTATACTCAACCACCCTCGCCTACATCTGGTTCTGTATTTTCACAACAGGCCTGGGAAAGAATAGAACCTAGTTCTATTCGACCAAGCTATTCATATGAAATGGTGAATCACAATACCATGCAGAATGGAAAGCAACGGGAATATTCCTGGAGTGACAGCAGTAGTAATACATCACGATCACGAGATCATCCTTCCATACGAAATGAAAATTGGAACTTTGACATGTTCAAGCCTTTAAACAACAGAACCCCTGATCACATTCCATTGGAGTTTCCAGCCTACCCGTCTAGGTGCCAGCCCCAGACTGTATTTGCTGATGAATTTCCACATCTGGACATCATTAACAACTTGCTACATGAAGAGCATGGAACTGGACGGACTTTGATGTCCAACTCAGGCTTTCAGAGGTTGAACAATGGATCATAACACCATCAGAATGCGCATTTCACTTATCTGAGTGATATTGGTATGCTTACTGGTCTAGGTCCCTCAGTAAGTTCTTGTAGGCATCGCTCTGGTCTTTAGATTTGCCGTGATTTTGCACTTCTTTGTTACCTTTGCCATCATCCTTGATATGGGTTGGCATTTCATTAGAGCTGAAGTATGTTAATAACTCCTTTTTGTGCAAATGTTATTTAGATGGCAATACTATTTTGTCATTTTGATTGGGAAGTGGTAATGGTAATACTAGTTTTTATGCATTTTATTTAGAGTTAATATTTGCATACAGCTTACTATGGTAAAACAAGAGCAGGGGCAGATCCACAATATCAACTGCGGGTTCTCGAGAATCCAGTAACTTTTGCCCAGACCTCTTATTTACATTGTGAAACCCATTGAAACCCGTTGGTGCTGGCTCCAGTACCAAGAAACTGTCTATTTGACAAATGACGCTTGTTTAAGTGGTCGAGTACCTCCATCATCAAATGACGATCTCGTATAAGAACTTAAGTGGTTATGATGTGACACTTTTTATTTACTTAATTACAATGAGAATATATATATCTTTATGTGTGCCACTGAGATTGAACTTTGATATTTGCCTATTGATATCAATGTTTTTTTTTCCGCTCGGTGTTCAATATCCACATTGGAGCTTGATTTATTCATATTTGCGCTGGATAAAGATTCAAGAGGTAACACTCTCTACCAAAGATCTTGTATACCAAAAACTCATTTAAATATTAAAGATAAGATCGATATGATTATTTACTTAATTATATTTTCAACGTGCTTCGTCATAGCTTTTTTTTTTGTTTTGAGTCAAACACATTACCATAAATTTCAGAATTGGAAAAGACTACAACATAAAAGAAAATAATAAGGGTAGATGTACAATTACAAACAAATAAGGAACATTAGTTTTATTTATGTTGAAATAGTAGAGTACATGAAGACACTATATTTAATATCTCCACTTTATTTAGTTTTCATAACATAATGTTCCCATAGAATTACTAACCCATACTGGGAGTAATTTGAACAATGAGTTTAAAGTCAACAACCAGAAAAACTCTACCACAAACATAATTAGCTGGCTTAACCATACCAGGAAATAGAAGCCTAACATCATGAACTATGGAATTTTCCTTCTGAATTATTTGTTCTGCATATCCTGCTGGCATCCCAACAAGTTCAGGCCATGATAGCTTACCTACAATAATTACAAATATATATTTTTTTGTTAGAAATTATAATTATGTGACATCAGTGAAAAAAATATCAACATTATGTGACCATCTGTGAAATTTATCCGTCTTCGAAAATCGAAACTATAAGAGGAAATTACCTGGGCAAAATACAAATTCGCCATCATTTTCCTCTGGAAGTTGTAGGACTTGTATGCCATCACTCAAATCTCTTGCCATCAGTGATTGAAAAACTGTACTTAAAATAAATAATTCACTTACTTATTTGAGAGATAATATATACTAATAAAACATATATATATGCATGAGCATTGACGGAGTCACTAGTTTCACTAAGAGAGTTCAAAATCATGTTATGGAGTCTTGTTGGTTAAATAAACCTTACTAATTAGTATAAATTTGAATTAGTCGGACCAAAAAGAGAATTAAGGGGATAATTACATACGTGATGCAAGAAGCAAGAAAGCAAGGACATGAGATAACTTGAGCATATTTTTTCCCTCCATTGCTTTTATTTTATTTTCTTTCAAATAATTGTGTGATTTGTAAGACTCATTGGTTACACATGGATACTTATAGGGAGTTAGTGAGGGGTCGGGTGAATTTAATAATAAACGTTATGGTAGGTATCGAGTAACTTGGCCATCAATAATTGATGGTATGTTCTCAAAAGATTTAATTAAAAATATTGAAAAGTAGTTTTTATCTAGTAAAAAGTGGGGAAATTTCAGAAAATGACATGACACGTTTTATTTATGTTTTCAAAGTATTTCTCAATGCATTAGATATACACTGCATTAGCTATAATGATAAGGAAAAAAACAATATAAAATGAAATTTAAAAAGATTTACTAGCAAAAGTAGAGATGCTATGGTCCCTAGCTATGAAATGTTTTTATTGATGGTGAGTCACTGAGTTGAATGTAATAATTATAAATTTTGGGATAATAAATTCAAGTAATAATACAAGAGTTCCAAATTCAAATTTAAACATATATATTTAATTAATTTCAAAAGAAATATAAAATTTATGATAAGTTTATTGAATTTTATTTTGGGTAAAAATTTAAAAATTGGGTAAATTATTAAGATGAAGTCACATGTACATTCGTTAATTTTAAGAGTATAGACAATTCAAAAAATTAATGGTAAAAATATATACAACCTTAAAATATAATGGAAGGATTAAATATAACTCTATTTAATATAGAACAATTTTATCCTTCATTTGAAAAGTTTTCGACTCATAACTCTATCGTTAGTCAAATGGTCCAAATAGAATATGCGATTATTGGCTAACGACCCCCAATTCCTTTTGGTAAATTTTTATTCTCCTTTTTGAAAAAACACAACCAAATCAACTTATATTTAAGTTCTCTATTTATTTTTATTTGTTCATCCATATTCGTTGATACATTGGAACAATTTTTGAATGATAAATACATCGATGACATTGATTTTCTCATCATTGTATTCATTGATGCGCGTTTGACATTTGAAGATGAGGGACAAAATAGTCTTTTCGTTTAAAGTCACTAATTAGGACAAAATTATTTCTTTTTAAATTTTTTTTACACACGAGGTATGAAGGGAGACAGTGAAAATTGAATTCACACATAATATGTGGGGGACACTCACCGATACCGCTATTTTGTAAATTATGAATTTTACAAAAATGAAACGAAAGATTTGATTTTATAGTCGTTGACAAATATTTTCTAGTTATATGATTTTCTTTTTAATGGGAGACCATTAAAAAATAACATAGAAGATCTCGATTATGCTTAATGAATAAATTAGAACTATAAAAGTTGGAGCATCCTTTAAAATGGGGAATATTTTGTTTCAATAAGCTTTCGGATTTAAATAAAGTAAAATTCATTTAAAGTAGTTCGAAATTCTAAAAAAGAAACTTCTTTCGTTTTTAAAAAATCAATAAAATTACCTCAAAATAGGGGGAAACAAATGAAACTCAATTAATTTATTGGTAGTTTGACTTCTTTATTTTATAACAAGGCTAGCTAGATTTTGTATTCTTCTCATTTGCGTATCATTATTTTTGTTTACTTTTTTTAATTCTTCATTCGGTATTTGATATTTGCTTTGGAGTTTAATTAATAGAAATTTATAATGAGATATTTTTTTTTATATTTAATGCTCAAATCTAAAACCTCTAATTAAAGAAGAATACATGTTTATCTTTCCACATTTATGATGATAATTTTGCTTACTACTGGTTCCAAAGAAAGTAAAACACATTGTCAAGTTTTATTTTTATTTTTTGGGATGTAATGGGGGACTAATTTGACAATTGCAATTCAAACCTACCTACCACACATTAATTAAATCTATGGTCCCAAATAATATAATTTGTCATTTTGATTGGGAAGTGGTAATGGTAATACTAGTTTTTATGCATTTTATTTAGAGTTAATATTTGCATACAGCTTACTATGGTAAAACAAGAGCAGGGGCAACCGCGGGGTTCTCGAGAATCCAGTAACTTTTGCCCAGACCTCGTATTTACATTGTGAAACCCATTGAAAGCCGTTGGTACTGGAACCCAAGAAACTGTCTATTTGACAAATAACGCATGTTTAAGTGGTCAAATACCTCCATCATCAAATGACGATCTCATATAAGAACTTAAGTGGTTATGATGTGACACTTTTTATTTACTTAATTACAATGAGAATATATATATCCTTATGTGTGCCAGTGAGATTGAACTTAAGTTATTTGCCTATTGATATCAATGTTTGTTTTTCTTTGTTTTCCTCGCTCGGTATTTAATATCTACATTGAAGCTCGATTAATTCAGATTTGCGCCGGATAAAGATTCAAGAGGTAATAACACTCTAAAGATCTTTCATACCAAAGACTCATTTAAATATTAAAGATAAGATTGATATGATTATTTACTTAATTATATTTTCAACACGCTTCGTCATAACTTTTCTTTTTTGTTTTGAGTCAAACACATTACCATAAATTTCAAAATTGGAAAAGACTACAACATAAAAGAAAATAATAAGGGTAGATGTACAATTACAAACAAATAGGAACATTAGTTTATTTATGTTGAAATAGTAGAGTACATGAAGACACTATATTTAATATCTCCACTTTGTTTAATTTTCATAACATAATGTTCTCATAGAATTACTAACCCATGCTGGGAGTAATTTGAACAATGAGTTTAAAGTCAACAACCAGAAAAACTCTACCACAAACATAATCAAATGGCTTAAACATACCAGGAAATAGAAACCTAACATCATGAACTAAGGAATTTTCCTTCTGAATTACTTCTCTTGCATATTCTGCTGACTTCCCAACAAGTTCAGGCCATGATAGCTTACCTACAATAATTTACAAATATATATATATATATATATATATATTTATATATATTTTGTTAGAAATTATAATTATGTAATATTAGTGAAAAAAAATCATAATTATGTAACCATCTGTGAAATTAATTACCTGGGCAAAATACAAATTCGCCATCATTTTCCACTGGAAGTTGAAGTACTTCTATGCCATCACTGATCAAATCTCTTGCCATCAGTGATTGAAAAACTGTAATTAAAATAATTAATTACTTGCTTACTTATTTGAGAGATAATATATACTAGTAAAATATATATGCACGAGCATTGGCGGAGTCAGTAGTTTCACTAAGAGGGTTCAAAATCTGAAGAAGTAAACAAATGAACAAGTCGAAGGGGGGTTCAAAGTCTACTATACAACAACATACATATGATAAGATTTCTCCATTTTTAACTAGTAGTCTCGAATTCGAGCTTTAGAAATAGAAAAAAATCTTGTTAGAGAGGCTTGCTGATTAAATAAGCCTTCTAATGAGTATAAATTTGAATTAGTCGGACCAAGAGAGAATTAAGGGGCTAATTACATACGTGATGCAAGAAGCAAGAAAGCAAGCACATGAGATAACTTGAGCATACTCTTTCCCTCCATTTTGCTTTTATTTAATTTTCTTTCAAATAATTGTGTGATGTGTTAGACTCATTGGTTACACATGGATATTTATAGGGAGTTAGTAAGGGGTCGGGTCAATTTAGTAATAAACGTTAGGGTATGTATCGAGTAACTCAGTCATCAATAATTGATCGGATATTCTTAAAAGATTTAATTTAAAAAATTTCAAAGGTAATTTTTATCTTGTAAAAACTGGGGAAAATTCAGAAAATGACATGGATATATACTGCATTAGCTATTGTGACAAGGAAAAAAACAATATAAAAAGATTTATATTACTAGCAAAACTAGAGATGCTATGGTCTCTATAAAGGGAGACGGTGAAAATTTACACACGGAATATGAAGGAGTCCGACGTCAAAAGGGCAAAAACAATAAAAAAAATTTCGATAAAATCGCTCCAGCAGCGATTTTTATTTATTTTAACGGAGTAGACGGAGTTAATTTTCTCCGAAGGATATCACTCCCTCAGGAGTGATTTTACCCTTTTGGTTAAAAAAAAAATTGATGTGCCATTTTGGAATTTTTGACAATTTTTTTTACCCTTTTGGCTCCGAACTCGAATATGAAGGGACACAGTGAAAATTGAATTCACACCTAATATGTTGGGGACACTCATTAATACCAAGGCTAGCTACACATAATTCAATTTTATAATTAGGCTAGCTGGATTTTGTATTCTTCTCAATTGTGTATCATTATTTTTGTTTACCTTTTGGTGTTTTTCATTTGGTATTTGATATCTCCTTTGGAGTTTAATGAATATAAATTTGTAATGAGAAGTTTTTTTTAAAAATTCAATACTCAAATCTGAAACATCTATTTAAAGATGAATACATATTTATCTTTCCACACCTATAATGATATTTTTGTTTACTACTAGTCCCTTAGCCTTCTTATTTGTTCCAAAGAAAGTATATAACACATTATTACGTTTTATTTTATTTTTGGGGTGTAATGGGGGGACTAATTTGACAATTGCAATTTAAACCCTACCTATCACACATTAATTAAATCTATGGTCCAAAAGATTTTAAAGTCTTGAATAAATATACAATGCGATTGTATTCTGAATTCACGTGAATTTAATATTGTGAGGATAAATCTTATCCAATTAATATATACACTTCACCAATAAAAAAGCACAAATAAAAGAAACAAAAAAAAAGAATAAAGAAAAAAAGAAAGGGATATTAAAAAAAAAACTATGGTCCCTATAAAATGTTTTTATTCATGCATGTGAGTCATTTTGAGTATATAGAACACACAAAAAATGTTATTTATAATTATAGGTACTTGATATTGATATATTGTTCCTAGTTATTATGTCTTTCAACCGTCCATGCATTTCCGTACTTTTAATGTTATGATTTTCGCTCATGGAGATTCAATTGTATTATTTTGGGAAAAGGCATAAATTTTCTTTTGAACTTGTCCCGAAAAGTCTGTTACACGCTTAAACTATCATGGTGACCTATTACACACCTTAACTACTCAAAAGTGAATTTGTTACCACCCTGAGACATGTAACACGACTCTCACATTATGTGGTGT